ACCCACCCCTTTCAGCCAGTGTCAGCTCTAATACCCTTCAGAGCCGTGTACAGCTCCTCCAGCTCCAGCCACCAAGCCTTCCAGCCAGGAAGAGTCAGGGTGGGAAGGACAAGCTGTCTTCTTTAAAGGACATGCCCTAGAAGCCACACAAAGGTCCTTTCCATCTAGGGACATAGGTGGGGCTTCAGGAAAAGCTAGGCAGTGTGTGTGTCCTAGACAGCTGTTGGTCCTAAAAGTCAGTGCTGCTATTATCAAGGGACAAGGGGTAATGGGGGTTGGCTCACCTAATGTGGTACAGCTGGCGGGCCCAGTGAGGTTTCTCTGCTTGTCACTCACTCACACAGATGAAGCCGTCTGCTCTGAAGCCACCGTCCGAGGATGCTCTCAGGCTGGGTGTTCAGCTCCAGGACGCTGTCGGTCCTGCCAGGCTGGTGGTGCCCTTTCCTATGCAGGACTGAGAGCAGTTCCAGGCCTGGGGCCTCAGTCTGGCCCAAGGCCTGGGTTTGTTCAGTCAGTGCATGAGATGCAGAAACCTGTGCTGTGGCTTCAGGGTGGCCACAACAGGGTGGTCCGTAAGGTGGGCATGGGTGTCCTGCTGCTGGGTAAAGCCAGGACTGCCCACCCCTGCAAAATTCTGCTATCTATCTTGCTTCTAAGTCAACGCTCATTTTTAAAAATATCTTACATTTTTAAAAGAAATCTATCACTGCTGTAGGTGGACAGGTAGTAACGGCCTGCCCTAGGTGGAAGGTAACCGAAAACCTCGCCAGGTCCTGCCAGACTCCAATCCTGGTGCCTGTTCTCTTTGTTAAGAGATAAGGTAGCATTCTACTGGGTGGAAAGAATTAAAAATTGAATGAATGCTTAAAACAGCACCCTTCATACTGTTCCATGCCTTCCCACCAGCAGTCGTTTCTCCTGTAGTATGTCGTCCCACCTTGGGAAACAAGGCTAAACCCTGTGCACCTCAGTTTCCCCTTCTGCCCAATGCCTGTCTCACAGGACAAATGAGACCATGAGAACACAGGTAAAGCCTCATACAAAAGATGCCTGACTCACACGGTTTGACACTCAAGAGCTATGATCCATTACCTTCACAGAGAAGAAAATGTGAATCCCGTCATTAAAGAACTAAATATGAAGTGGTAGTTGAAGTGACTAGATCCTACATAGCCGACTATGTGGTTCAACTCCCAATGATGTAGGAAACATGCCAAGTGCATATGTGTACATACCCAAAATCCCAAAGGGAGAGAGATGGAAGAGACGAGACTGTGGTGTGATCATCCCCAATGGGGGGAGGGGTGCTTTCTCACCTTTCCTCTCGCTGTCTGTCTTGTCTCTTTCCAGCAAATTAAGAAAAAAAACTACAACTTAAGCAAGCCAGCCCATGGCTTGGTGGTTAGGGAGGCTGGATCACACATCACCAACTACATGGTTCAAGTCCCAGACCTGATGGTTTGAGAAACACGCTGGACATGTGTGCATACATGTCCAAATCCCAGAAGGAGAGATGGAGGAGAAAGGACTATGGTGTGACTGTTCCCCAGTGGGAGTGCTTTCTCAGTCCCCCCCTCACTGGTATGTATATGCCCTCTTTACAAAACTTTTAAAAAGGTAAATATGACTGAGGCAAAAAAAAAAAAAAGGCAACCTAAACTTGAAACAAACAGGGATAGGAGACATAAAACCCCAAACACCTCATTAAACAATGGAAGACACTTTATTAATCATCTCTTAACATTTCAACTCTTGGTAGAAATCGAATGTAAAACATCTGCATTTTTAAATTAGCATATATTTATCTCAATCACAGCAACCTCATATAATAAGATACACACCAAAGAGGAGCATGGTTGCAGTAGTTCCTATCCCAGTCTCTCAACACAGTATTTCTGTGATGGTGCCCTGGACTTTTTCCTCCCAGGATGCGCTGGTATTCCTGCTTCTGTCCACTGTGTGAGTTACGTGACATCGCGGCCAGTTAAGTTAGTTATGTAATGCTGGAGCGATCTAGAAATGGGAAACTGAAAACCTAGAGCTCTCGGGAGTGGGTCAGGCATTGTCAGTTCTGAATGTGGAGAGGAAGAACACCAATGAATGCCCTGCATGGGCTGGTCTGAGTGATAAAGTCAGTTGAAATTCAGCTTTATATACACATTGTACTGTATATCTACAAGTGATCTACCAGATATATAGAAAAAGTCATATAAGATTTGGAAAACCTTAAAACCACTCAACTGAGTTGGAAGAACGTCGCAGATTCACAGTGGCCTCAGGATTAGCTCGTTTTAAACCCTTGCTCAAGAGCTGAATATCACCTTCTCTCAGAAAAGCCCACTGCATGTAAATTCCATAACATCCTGTACATCATGAACACTATGGCTAAATATATTATTATTCACAAGGAAGCAGTTTGTTTTCCGGCTCTTTGCCCCCTCCTGCTCTGTACCCCCGAGAAGGAAAATCCAGGGGCCGGTGATTCACGTGAGGAGTTGAGGGGCCCCTGGAAGTGCTTAGGCTCAGCTGAGTATCTGAGGAGCCACCGTGCTGATGGGCGTGCAGGATTCCTGCCCACGTTTAGTGCAAAGAGATCACAAATGTTGCAGTTAAATCCTGGAAACTGATGAGGAGAAGAGGGCGGAGATGGAGGGGTTGTGGGAATCCCTTCTGAAACCAGATACAAGTAGTTTGGGGTGCAAGGATCCCACAGCAAGTGCCAAAAACCAGGGCTATGGATCTGAAGGGTGAGGTCCCTGAATCATCACAGGGTTATCACAGACCTCACTGCCCGCGCCACCCCTAAGTGCACGCTGGAGGTAGGTGTACAGCTATTTACCGTAGGGAAGACAGTGGCTCTCCACCAACTCAAGAAAAGGGGACGTCATCCATTTTTCTCCTGCCCCAAGTTCTCCACTCCACCCTGGGCTGGAGTGAGTGGAGAACACTCCACTGAAGGCCATGAGGCCCTCCTTTGGAAGACTAAAAACCCAGGGCGTTTTCATAAATAGCTACATAATTCATTTTTCTAACCACTTTGAAACACACAGCAAGTTGAATATTTATTTAAAAATAAATCTCAAAAAATACTATTTACAGTACAGTAAGAGGGGCATGTGCAAACAACAGAAAGGGAAACGCCCGTCCCACCGAGGGAAGTCCACACTGCAGTGCACTGGAGCCAAGGTCACAAATGCCAGGGGCTGACTGGGCTGTGGGGGGCACCAGGTCACACTCAGCTAATACTGGGCTTGGCTCCCCCTAGACACCTGGAGAGGTGGGAAAGGGAGGCAGCAGGGGAGTGCACTGGGGGATCAACTCTGGGATGGGGAGGTCAAGAGCTGAGCCTTTTAGAGAGGCCCAGTGTGGCAGGAGGGCTCATTTCACAAGCCAACAGGCCTCTCGTTCGCAGTTCCTGGGGACCCTTCGAGGTGAACTAAAGGACCCTTCCAGTTCAAGTTGGCTTTGCAATGGGTGTGACAAGGGTCTTAAGAGATAGAAATTCTCTTCAAAGGGAAAAAGAAAAAAAATCTAAAAATCAACCAAACAGAGTGGGGACGAGTGAACGTGAATCTGAACGGAAGTGTGGCCCTCTCCCTCGTAGGGTGACAAAGCAGACATCAGTTGACATACAAGTGACTAAGTGAACTCCCCATGGGTGCAGCCAGCCACGATCCCCACCTCCTACATGGTCAAGTGCAGGCTTCTGCTTGAGATCGGCGCATTACTACTTCACCAGGAAACCAGAAAGGTCAGTGGTGTAGCCCTTGTAGCGGCAAGTGCAAGGTCAGGTCTATCTGTATACGAGATGGGAGAACTGGGAGGCCTTGTAGCTCAGCTGGTTGTTGGGCATGAACTTGTGCAGCTCACTCTTTTTGCAGCAGGGGTCGTAGTGGTAGGCGCTGAGGCAGGTGTTACGTGACATCGCGGCCAGTTAAGTTAGTTATGTAATGCTGGAGCGATCTAGAAATGGGAAACTGAAAACCTAGAGCTCTCGGGAGTGGGTCAGGCATTGTCAGTTCTGAATGTGGAGAGGAAGAACACCAATGAATGCCCTGCATGGGCTGGTCTGAGTGATAAGGTCGGTTGAAATTCAGCTTTATATACACATTGTACTGTATATCTACAAGTGATCTACCAGATATATAGAAAAAGTCATATAAGATTTGGAAAACCTTAAAACCACTCAACTGAGTTGGAAGAACGTCGCAGATTCACAGTGGCCTCAGGATTAGCTCGTTTTAAACCCTTGCTCAAGAGCTGAATATCACCTTCTCTCAGAAAAGCCCACTGCATGTAAATTCCATAACATCCTGTACATCATGAACACTATGGCTAAATATATTATTATTCACAAGGAAGCAGTTTGTTTTCCGGCTCTTTGCCCCCTCCTGCTCTGTACCCCCGAGAAGGAAAATCCAGGGGCCGGTGATTCACGTGAGGAGTTGAGGGGCCCCTGGAAGTGCTTAGGCTCAGCTGAGTATCTGAGGAGCCACCGTGCTGATGGGCGTGCAGGATTCCTGCCCACGTTTAGTGCAAAGAGATCACAAATGTTGCAGTTAAATCCTGGAAACTGATGAGGAGAAGAGGGCGGAGATGGAGGGGTTGTGGGAATCCCTTCTGAAACCAGATACAAGTAGTTTGGGGTGCAAGGATCCCACAGCAAGTGCCAAAAACCAGGGCTATGGATCTGAAGGGTGAGGTCCCTGAATCATCACAGGGTTATCACAGACCTCACTGCCCGCGCCACCCCTAAGTGCACGCTGGAGGTAGGTGTACAGCTATTTACCGTAGGGAAGACAGTGGCTCTCCACCAACTCAAGAAAAGGGGACGTCATCCATTTTTCTCCTACCCCAAGTTCTCCACTCCACCCTGGGCTGGAGTGAGTGGAGAACACTCCACTGAAGGCCATGAGGCCCTCCTTTGGAAGACTAAAGGACCCAGGGCGTTTTCATAAATAGCTACATAATTCATTTTTCTAACCACTTTGAAACACACAGCAAGTTGAATATTTATTTAAAAATAAATCTCAAAAAATACTATTTACAGTACAGTAAGAGGGGCATGTGCAAACAACAGAAAGGGAAACGCCCGTCCCACCGAGGGAAGTCCACACTGCAGTGCACTGGAGCCAAGGTCACAAATGCCAGGGGCTGACTGGGCTGTGGGGGGCACCAGGTCACACTCAGCTAATACTGGGCTTGGCTCCCCCTAGACACCTGGAGAGGTGGGAAAGGGAGGCAGCAGGGGAGTGCACTGGGGGATCAACTCTGGGATGGGGAGGTCAAGAGCTGAGCCTTTTAGAGAGGCCCAGTGTGGCAGGAGGGCTCATTTCACAAGCCAACAGGCCTCTCGTTCGCAGTTCCTGGGGACCCTTCGAGGTGAACTAAAGGACCCTTCCAGTTCAAGTTGGCTTTGCAATGGGTGTGACAAGGGTCTTAAGAGATAGAAATTCTCTTCAAAGGGAAAAAGAAAAAAAATCTAAAAATCAACCAAACAGAGTGGGGACGAGTGAACGTGAATCTGAACGGAAGTGTGGCCCTCTCCCTCGTAGGGTGACAAAGCAGACATCAGTTGACATACAAGTGACTAAGTGAACTCCCCATGGGTGCAGCCAGCCACGATCCCCACCTCCTACATGGTCAAGTGCAGGCTTCTGCTTGAGATCGGCGCATTACTACTTCACCAGGAAACCAGAAAGGTCAGTGGTGTAGCCCTTGTAGCGGCAAGTGCAAGGTCAGGTCTATCTGTATACGAGATGGGAGAACTGGGAGGCCTTGTAGCTCAGCTGGTTGTTGGGCATGAACTTGTGCAGCTCACTCTTTTTGCAGCAGGGGTCGTAGTGGTAGGCGCTGAGGCAGGTGTCGCAGGAAACTTTTGAACACTGGGTGCAAGTGTTGCTGGCGCCTGGGCGGTTGCAGAAGCCACAGCGGGAGGTGGCTGTGGGGGGGAGCTTGGTTTTGAGTGAAGGTGTGCCAGCCGGTCGAGGCCCTGAGTCTGGCCGGAGTACTTCTCCCGAACGGATGCCCCATGGGCCAGGCTGTCATGGGTGGAGGCCTTGCTGGGGAAGGCGCCGGGCTTGGAGGCTGAGGGACAGACGAGCAGGCTGTCACAGCGCTGGCAGAAGGAGGAGCTGCAGGACAGGCCACAGTTTTGGCACTTGGATAGGGCAGACTCTTTGGCGGGGGGTGAGCGCTTGTGGTAGAGGGGGTGGGCATCGTTTCTGACCAGCCACACGTCTGGCCTCAGAGCATCCTGCCTGCGGTAGGTGGCCCTGGGCTCCGAGTCCGTGTACAGATCCACGTCGTCCTGAGCGGAGAAGTATGTGCCGCGCAGCAGGCCAACGCCGTTGCTGGGGGAGGCAGGTGGAAGGTCATCAGGGCTGCCGTGGGGGGAACTGGACATGGCCAGGAGGGAGGGGGATGGGCGGATGATCTCGTCCTTGAGGTCGTCCCCCAACTCTGAGGCTGTGGGCTCTTTCCGCAGGCTTAGTGAGGCCTTTAGGGGCGGTTTCCTGCTCTCCCAGTAGCTGTCATAGGCATCCACCGACCTCGAGGGCTTGGTCACACGGGGCTTGTAATAGTCTTTGGCGGCTCGCTCGCTGGCCGACTTCTGGAGTGCCACCCGGGCCATGGACGCCGTCAGGTGCTCCCTGCCCTCGGCCCGCCGCCGCCGGGCGGCAGAACAGCCACGCACATCCTCCGTGC